TTTCTGTTAGTTACTGGACAGTTCAAAGACAGTTCCAGGTCATCAATACAAATCAACAATATTTTCATTTCGTTGCCTCTCTTAAACAACATTATAAATAATACAATCATCAGTACAACGCTCCCTTTATCAACAAAAAAATTAACATAAGTCATTATTTTACCATCATGTTTTGAGTTGTTGTACCAAATGAAAATTGTAATGAAATAAACATACGACAAGAGACACCACAGTCGAGGAACTATTTTTGCGAATTTAGTTTTTGCTGGGGTTTTATCGTACGAAAATTGAACAATTCCTAGGACACTATATACATATTTGACCAATTTGGAAGTCGATTTGAGGAGCTGTGGTGACATTTTGCCCTCAAACTAGACAACGCAGACAGTATTGATCAAGCTTCCAGTAATTAATTAGACGAATAGATAACATATGTGTTTAATTTTCACAATACTCAATTATTTCAAGTACGTGGGCGCCAATTTTGTCACTGTAGAAATACATATAATATTCTAGATGAGATAGCGTGTGTAACGCAGATGCTGGTCATTAAACATAAAATTGTAAAAGTATAACTAAATAAGTAGTCAGAGCAGCGATCATCTAAAAATCCTCACTAAATTTTTGTTGTATAGAGTGAAACCCTCACTCACCGTTTGACAGAAAGTCCAGTCCAAGTTAAAAAATCCGCAAGCGTTGAAGCGCACCTGCGTGATGAACATGCGCATGGAAATTAATTCAAAATGGTGGAATGTCTTGCTTTGTTTAGAAGCGTGTTTGTTCCAGACTTCGTGCAAAATTATAGCTCCAGAGTTGGCCACTTCTTGAGTTTTGCTAAATTTTGCGATGAGTACGAATAACCAGCACGATAAGAAAACAATGTGGCTGAAATTGGAGCCAAATCGGGCTGTTAGTACTTGTGATTTCACTCCTAGAACTGTAGCAGTGTAAATGGAGTCGATCATAGCCACGAACCACTGAACTATGATTACGGTTACTACTACTTCGAATTGTTTTAACATTTTTAGTGTTACAAGGACTAAGTCGTAGTGGTGGTGGGACAAATCTTGAATAGTATCCATTTTCTTTTGGTTACTTGTTGTGACTAAGGTTTCTAGTCTTTGGTTAATCAGAGTGAATTTGTCACAAAGACAGTCGAAAATGTCGTTAAGGAAAATGTTTTCGAAGGAGATGATGACGCAACAGTAGGAAATGTACACGTAGTAACCCACTTCTAAAAAGATGAAAAAAACTACGTTTGTTAACAGACACCCAAGAAGGATAATCCGAACGAGTGTCCTGTTATTCTTTGCTGATTTTTGAGACTTCATCTTGTTTTGGTCGATTCGAATCAACAGTGCTTTGGTTCTAGTACTTCTTATACAGAACATTAAAAATAGTACAATCATCAGAAGCACAGTTCCATGGTAAACCAGAAAATGGACATAAAACATTATTTTGACGTTGTAGTTTGAACTGTTGTAAAAAGTACAGATGTTGATGAAATAACCATAGGAGAAGACACACCACAAGTGGGGAGCAAATTTAGAAAGTTTATTTTTAGGTGGTGTTTTACAATAAGAAAATTGGACAATCCCTAGTAGCTTATAAATGTATTTGAACGTTTTAAAAGTTGTCTCTAGAAGTTCTGTTGCCATTGTTATCTTCGGTTTGTTGTAAGTGTTTAGTCCATTGATTCATCTTCAATTAATTATTTATCCAATAGTGGATTATATTGTGTGGATAAACAAAGACTTCGAGAAATATTGTGTCGGGCTATCGACAATGCTAGTGGTGAGGTGATTTTTGCTTCAATTAATTATCTACCAATAACGCTATTGATCAAGCTTTCAGTAATTGGTTGCACTAGGAAATGATCAGATTGTTTGTGTTGGCTAAATCGATTTATTTTTATGTCTCTAACCTGAGTATGTAAATAGTTCTAATTAAGTGCACTAGATTTGAAACTGCACGAGAATAAGCCAGTAAGTGGTAAAAGCAACAACCATCTGAAAAACACAAAAACGAGTTTTTCTTTCTCCATTCAAACCACATATTCACCGTTTGTAGGAAGGTCCAGTCCAAATTAAAAAATCCACCTATGCTAAATTCCATCTGTGTGTTTAACATTCGTATGGAAAGTAGTTCCAAGTGACGAAACTCTCTAGTCATTTCTTTTTTAGAAACATGTTTATTCCAAATTTCGTGTAGGTGTAGAACTCCAGTGTTGGCTAGTTCTTGCGTCTGGCTAATTTTGGCAATGAGTACACATAGATAACACAAAGAGAACACAAGATGGCTGAAATTAGCTACAAAACGTAATGTAAGGTGTCGAGACTGAGCTACTAGAACTGTAACTGTGTATATAGCGTCAACCATAAATAAAAAACTGTGAATCATAGTCGCTATAGTGGTTATTTCAAACTGTTTTTTAATTTCTACTGTCAATCGTACTAACTCATAGTGGAAATGCGAAAATTTCTGCAGCAAATGTATGTATGATTTATCACGTTTAGTGATAATTTCCAGTTTTTCATTCGCAGCAGCGAATTTGTCACCAATGCAGTCGAAAATGTCGCTCAAAAAAATTGCGTCAAATGTCATCATTATGCAACAGTAGTACCAGAAAATATGATAGAAATCACGCTCATCCTGAAATGAACTAAGGATTATCACCTGAAGTACACTAACAACGAGGGTAATTCTTATTAATATTCTTTTCCTGTTAGTTACTGGATAGTTCAAAGACAGGTTGAGGTCATCAATACAAATCAACAACATTTTTATCTTGTTGCTCCTCTTAAATAACATTATAGACGACACAATCATCATTAAAACGCTCCCTTGATCGACAAAAAATTGAACATAAGTCATTATTTTACCATCATTTTTGGAATTGTTGTACCAAATGCAAATGTTAATGAAATAAACATATGACAAGAGACACCACAGTCGAGGAACTATTTTTGCGAATTTTGTTTTTGGTGGAGCTTTATCGTACGAGAACTGAACAATTCCCAGAACACTATACACATATTTGACCAATTTGGAAGTCGATTCGAGGAGCTGAGGTGACATTTTTGTTCTTAAACTAGCCAATAAAGACAGTATTGATCAACTTGCCAGTAATTAATTAGACGAATAAAAAACATATGTGTTATATGTTAACAATATTAAATTATTTCAGGTACGTGGGCGCCAATTTTGTGGCTATAGAAATACATATATTACTCAAGAAGAGATAGTGTGTGCAACGCAGATGCTGGTCATTAAACATAAAATTGTAAAAGTATAAGTAAATAAGTAACAATAGCAGCGATTATCTAAAAATCCTCACAAAATTTTTGTTGTTATATAGCGAGTGACACATATGTGATAAAATATGCATAACGTGTTTCAAATCTAATCACAAAGAAGACTCTGCTAAAAGAATATATTGCGAAAAATGCAATAGATATTGTTTTAATCAAGAATGTTTAGAAAATCATTCTGAAGTTTGTGAAAGATTTCATAAATGCTTAAAGTGTAATAAAATACTCAAAAGAGGTGATAAAATGGTTGACGAAGGTAAAAAATGATTGAAGAAGGAAATAGATTAATTTGTACAAAACCGAAAATGGTCCAAAAATGTAATAAAATTATTGAAAGAGGTAATAAAATAATAGAAGAGGGTAGTAAAGAACACAAATGTGGCTGGGAAAAATGTAGAAATTGTTATAAAGAGGTTGAAATACGTAAACATAAATGTTACATGCAATGGAAGCGGCAAAAAGGTGAAATCTGTCAAACAAAAATAAAAGACGGTGGTGAAGAATACAAAGTAAAAGGATGCCGAAACTGCAGTAAAATAGGTTGTACCTTAACTTTTCCTGATAAAACAAACATAAGAGTAAAATCTCACATTTATCAATGTAAAGAATGTAAAAATTGTGTTAAAATACCAAGAAACACTGGCAGGGCCAGCCCAGAGTCAAAGACGAAGAACGAAAACGGTTATCAATGTCTTAATTGCGGATGTTCATTTAATACAACTAAATGCTCTTACACACAAAAATATTTATTCTTTGATTACGAGGCGATGCAAGAAACGGGCAAACACGTACCTAATTTAGTTATGGCTCACGATTTTTACGGTAATGTTGATTCTTTTAAGACTAACAAAGATTTCAGTAAATGGTTAGTTTCTAGAGATCATAAAGGATACACAGCTATTGCACATTATGGCAAAGGTTATGATTCTTACTTTATTCTAAAATATTGCGTTGAAAACGGTATTAAACCTTTCTGCATATATAATGGATCTAAAATAATGTTAATGGAAATAAAATCAATTAATTTAAGAATTATAGATAGTAGTAATTTTGTCCGAGGACCTTTAAAAAACTTCCCCAAAACATTCGGCCTAAACGAACTTAAAAAAGGTTATTTTCCACATTTTTTCAATACAACAGAAAATCAGAACTAGGTATATTGGAAAAATACCAAATACAAAATACTATGGTGTTAATTCTATGAAAATAAAAGATAGGCAAGAGTTTTTAGAATGGCATAAACAAAAAAGAAAAGAAAATTATTTATTTGATTTTAAAAATGAACTTTATGATTATTGTAATTCTGATGTGGATATATTAAGAAGAGGATGTCTTGAATTAAGAAAACAATTTCTAGAAATAGCTAACATAGATCCTTTTAGATACATTACAATTGCAGGTGTTTGTATGGCTATATATAGATCAAAATATATTAAGAAAGATACAATTGCATTTGTTGATAATCTACAAAAAGATCAATATTCTCAACAATCAATTTCTTGGTTAAATAGTTTTCATAATCAAAATATAAAACATGCATTAAACGATGGTGAAGTGAGAATATGTGGATCAAAAGTTGATGGCTTTGATGAAAAAACTAATACAGTCTATCAATATCACGGTTGTTTTTGGCATGGTTGTACAAAATGTTATAGTTCAAATTTTATTAATAATAAGAATAAAACAACTATGGAAGATCTTTATGAACAAACAATAGAAAGAAGCGAGCAAATAAAAAAAGCTGGCTATAATTTAATAGAAATGTGGGAATGCAATTGGATTAAATCTAAAGAATATAAAGAAGAAATGAAACAAATTAAAAGCAAAAATAAAGAAATTGAAGAACTTAATCCTAGAAATGCATTCTTCGGAGGAAGAACTAATGCTACAAAACTGAAAGTTAATGAAAAGAAAATGAAATATATAGATATTTGTAGTTTATATCCAACAGTACAATGTTATGATGATTATCCAGTTGGACATCCTACTAAAATATTCAAACCTCCTACATATAATTCAAAATGGTATGGTTTAATAAAATGTGCAATTTTACCACCAAGAGGTTTGTATCACCCTGTTTTACCTGTTAAAAATAAAAAGAAATCTGGCGATGAAAAACTAACATTTCCATTATGTCAGTTGTGTGCAAAATTAAATAATCAAAAAGATAAATGTACTCATACGGAATCTCAAAGAATTATCAGAGGAACCTGGTGTACAAACGAAGTAAAGAAAGCAATTGAAAAAGGATACAAAATAATAACTATTGATGAAGTTTGGCATTTTGAACAAAAATCGAGTTATTTGTTTAAAGGATATGTAAAAGCATTTATGAAAATAAAGTTGGAGACAAGTGAATGGAGAAATGATTTTGAATCAGAAGAAGAATATAGAAAAGCCGTAAAAGAAAATCTAAGTATTGAATTGGGTAAAATAGAAAATAATCCTGGAAAGAGAGCTGTTGCAAAAATCTGCTTAAATTCCTTATGGGGTAAATTTGGTCAAAGACAAAATATGGGGGCAACAGAATATGTTACAGATATTAAGAGATTTTATAAGATTTTATTAGACGACAGACTTGATAATATACATATCAATGAATTAAACGAAAATATGTTACAAATTGATTACGAGTATAAAGGCTGCTATTTAGAAAATGATTTTAATACCAATATATTCATAGCTGCTTTTACAACTGCAAATGCTAGACTAAGATTGTACGAAATGTTAGACATATTAGGAGAAAGTGTAATATATTATGATACAGATAGCATTGTATATATAGATAATGGTAAAAACACTGTAAAAACAGGATGTCTATTGGGAGATTGGACCGTTGAATTAGGTAAGGACGTATGGATTGTTGACTGGGTATCAACAGGTCCAAAGAGTTATTGTTATAAGACTAATACAGGTAAAGTTGTTTGTAAAATAAAAGGATTTACATTAAACTATGAAACGTCCAAAAAGATTAATTCCGATAGTATAAATAATATTTTAGAAAAGTCCAGCAGAGCTGGTCCAGAGTCAAAAACAAACAAAGACAGAAAAATCAGTACACAATATAATCGAATTACAAGAGATACTAAAACTAAAGAACTTTTAAACAAAATAGAAACAAAAGAATTTGGTTTTGTTTATGACAAGAGAGTTATTCTCGAAAACTTTGATACAATACCGTTTGGATATTAATCCTTTTTTGTTACTAACTAATGAATAATTTATTGTATAATGTAAATGGTAAAATTTATTAATTTAATACTGATGAAAATTCGTATGAAATATGTTCAGTCCTCCTGTTGAATAAATAATGCTAATGCAGATGTGAATTTAGAAAGTGAATAATTAGTTCGCCTAAAGATATGCAATACAATATACAAACATTATTGGCGGGTCACATACATTTTACTTTTATATTTTATTGTTGTTATTGTATACTATTATTATGGTAATCATGCGCAGTATAGTATAATTATTATATTAGCTAATCAACAACATGATTAAAAGAATTTTTGTCAACTTGTTAACTTGATGTATGTACGTATGTTATGAACGCACCCAACGCATTGTGCATTGCATTACTGTCAAATGTTAAACTCGACTGTCATTTGTCAGCTGTGGGTCGAATGTCGATTGAGAAATACGTATTCTAAGTAGTTACCACCGAGGTAGAAGAGACCGGAGGGAGCGTACCGTATGCTAGCAATGTAACCATTCTGGCATCGTTCAAGACCCGGTCAGACACCGGTTATGATCTTATTTGAACAAGCCGCCAATATTTGCCAGCCCGACGCAAACGCGCACCTACACTCAACAGCTGACAGGGTTTGGATTTCCAGTGGCGTACTATCACGTAACACGTGCTGTTTATATGCAGTTGTTCGTTCTTGAGTTTGAATTTAGTTGTGCTGTTTTAGTTTTGGACGCGTTAGTGGTGTTTTTAATTTGAATAGACTTTGATAATAAATGAAGATCATAATAACTTTTAGAGACTTATATATAAGGTAGTCAACATAAAATATGTTGCCCCGCCACTGGTTATGACTGCTAAACATTTAGAGGGTGGAGCTTAGCACAGCGCGCATTTCAAGTAGGGTCATAAACGGTGCCTGAGTCTGTCTCACAAAATTCACGACACCTTCCCTCCGGCAGTGACTATGTATTTAAAAGACCGGCAACCCCGTATCCTTATGCGTACCAGTGAGTTAATATTGGCGGTCAGATGGCGTCCCAAAATGCGACAAAAGACCTCTAACCTTCAATGGTTGTTACTAATACCATTTTACGAGTTGTTGTCTGAGCTTGTACAACACAACTACTGTAAGTGAATTGCTCTTGCAGCCGTTTTAGTTTGAAATTTAACAAGTCGGACGGCGCGGAAAATTACTGACACTTTGCGACTCGAATCAAATAAGGGTGTGGGGACCAAAAATCTGCGCAAGTTTCAAACTAGCATAACTTTATTATTGAATGACGAATTAAAAATGCAACTGTTAACATTTACAAAACAACTTTATAGAGTACGATTTGCAACATATCTACTTGCTTCACAAATTTTTGTTTTAACACGGCGCGGCGCATTAAATTTGTGAAAGCCAATATTTTTTTCTGCCAAATTTTCAGCAATACACACTGCTTAATTCTATATGTGTGAAGGGTTCCTACCCTACATTTTTCACACAAATTCCACTTTAGATTTCTTCAAAAGCGTTCAATTGGTCGCAGTTGAAGGACGTTCGGAACATTTATGTCCTTAGGAATAAACTGAATATTTATATAAGTCATTTATGCATCAATAACGTTGGCAGTGTAATGATTCAGAATTTTTTTTTAATTTTTGCTTTTGTTCCAATTTTTGTTTTTCTGAACATTTGGGAATTGATTTTCGCTTTGCAAATATGATTTTATTCTCCCTTAGTAACGTACTTTTTGCCGATTTTAAATTTCTGTCCAAAATTTCTAAATGGCATTCCAAGTTTACCGTGGTTAGTGAGTACTGAGTATGGATGTTAAAAATAGGACACACTATTTACACTATTATATTACTAAATTACTAGTTATAATGTTCCAATACATGGTTACTGGTACTGCCGTGGTTCTGGCTGATTAAGGCTTCTCTCCTCTTCTGGGCCATTTTTGTTGCTGGAATTCCACTTCTTGTCTGTCTTTCTATCGAATTACCATTCTCTAGAGTTATAATTTGTCCTTTTTGATATCCCCATTTGGAAAAAGTGATTAAATGTGAAGGGCTTTTTTAAATGCATACGGTCTGTATAAAATTCGGCAAACACATTTCGGCAATTATTTTCATTCGAGTGTTCCATTTTCGCACAAAATATTAAACTTCTAGTGGAATTAGCGATAACAATTTTTGATAAGTCGTCGCCTGGGAACATGTTTGATCTACAGACCAGAGCGCGCTCATGCCAATGTCGATTCTAAGCGTTCAGAATTGAAAAAAGAAATTGAAAAGTTCCCAAAACTGATAATGTTGAAAAAGTTGAGAAATCGGAAAATCTATAAATCGAAAAATTTTAAAAATCGAAAAACCAAGATGGCAAAATTAAAACTTGAAAAATTCAAATATCGAAAAATTGTAAAATCGAGAAGTCTAAATATAAAGAAATAAAAAAAATTAAAATTTAAAAACAGAGAAATTGAATAATTAAAAAAAGTGGAAAATCGAAAAATTAAAATGTAGGAACAACCGTTCCCACAAAATCAGGTGTTCTACCTGAGCGCATTCATAATCTTTGTACAAATGTAAATACGTCCTATCTTTCGTCTACCTGTCCTACGCTCCTACATACTTTCTCTTTCCGTTTCTAGAATTTTCTAAACTCTTTCTTTACCTACTACCACCTATTTGAAACCGAGCCTACCTGTCGACCATTCAAACACCCTTCGATCTTCTTCTCCCTGGCACTCTCAAACAGTAAAAGGAACTAAATAAAATCTGAAAACCGTAACCGTCGCTTTTTCTAAAAATCACCAACGATACCCACAAAAAAAATGGAAAATCGAAACATTAAAAAAAAACGGAAAATCGAAAAATAAAAAAAAAACGGAAAATCGAAAAATAAAAAAAAATGGAAAATCGAAAAATAAAAAAAATGGAAAATCAGAAATTTAAAAATTCCAAAAATTGAAAAATTGAGATAGAAGAACTGAAAAGTCGAGAAATCGAAAAACCTAATATTTTAAAAACTGAAAACTAAAAGTTTATAAAACGAAAAATTGAAAATTCAAACAGTAAAAAGTCGAAAAACTGAAAAATCACAAAATTGAACAAAATATTCAAAAATTAGGAAGTTAAAGAATTGAAAAATTGAGAAATCAAAAATTCAAAAAGCAAAGTCGAAAAAAGTAGATTAATTGAGGAATCGGAAATCTGAAAATTCTGAAACGTCAAAATCTGAAAAATTAAAAAATATTGAAGAACTGAAAAATCGAAAAGCCTAAAATTTAAAACATTGAAAAATTAAAATATCGTAAAATTGAAAAATGGAGAAATCTAAAAATCAAAAAATAAAAAAAAAATAAAAATTGAAAAATCTAAAATATAAAAATCGAAAAACTAAAAAATCAACACATCGAGAAATCAAAACTCGAAAACTAAAAAAAATTGGAAAACTGAAAAATCGAATAATATAAAAATCTAAACACAGAAAAACCGAAAAATCGAAAAGTAAAAATCAAAAACCGACAAATCGAAACATCGAAAAATTCAAAAACTGAGACATCGAGAAATCGAAAAATCAAAAGATGGAGAAATCGAGGAGTCGAAAAGTCGGCAAGTCGAAAAATCGAAAAATTGAGAAACCGAAATAGGCCAAAATCGACAAATCGAAAAGTTAAAAATGGAAAAATTGATAATTCGGGATCTCAAAAATTGAAAAATCGAAAATTTAAAAATTGGGAAAATAAAAAAATTAAAATATAGAACTGAGAACTCGAGAAATCGAAACATCTAGAATTTTAAAAATGAAAAATTACAATATCGAGAAGTTGAAAAATTGAGAAATCGAAATATAAAACGGTCGAAAAACTGAAAAATAATAAAAATATCATAATAACAATATCTACTATAATGGTCGTTCATTTTTTTATTTAAATAAAGGATGAATTTAAACGCATACATCAGGCATCCTCCAAAAATTGGGATTTACTGGCATGTTGTCAACATGTGCTTATCATAACAATAATAATTAAAGAAAAGCTGAAATTTGGTTAAATTTGGACAAAAACCTTTCACCAGTCCACCGTTCATTTGGGGATGGGCTATTTTGCTTTAACGTAATCTCACTGGCCACAAGTCTGCTGAGTTGGTGTTCGTCCAGACTACTGTTAACGTAGTTCACAAGAAAAAAGGAGGGAGAGCCACTATCCACTATTACGTTTATGGATGAAGTGAAGTGAGGGGTAAGACGGAGCATTAGCCCCGTACTTGTCCATAAGGTTGCCTCTCTTTTAACTCTATACTCACTGCCACCGGTCTCTTCTACCTCCGCGCTAGTTACAAAGAGACGTTTTCCAACAATCAATCCTTTCTTACATTGGAATGGCGTATCAGAATTGTAAGTATCCATGTTATTTGCTACATAAATATTCACAGTTAATTTGCAGATGGTTTTTTGTCCTGCGCTCAGGACCCTAACGATCCACAAGCGATATTACAATTGTTTATAGACTTGACCCCTGAAGAGTGTGCATTTAAACCGACGAACATCTGGAGTCGGTCCACCAAAAGAAAAAAAAACCCATGTCTGTGGTGCATTTTATATACTGTCAAGAATCCAGAAACCCAGTATTTAAGAGGAACACAGGGTCGTCAATTGCGAACTCTATTAAACACATGTAAACCATTTAATGCCGGAATCGTAGACTATGAGTTCTATGAAAATTTGCAAACCGGACAGATGGGATGGCTATTCATATGGAAAAACTTGCAATGCAGACATAAGCCAAATTTTCGTAAAATAAGACAATGTCCGTAATGAGCGGAACGCCAGCTTTTTTTAACTAACCAGAGAACTGACAACGTGGTTAAAAAATTCAACCGAAACTTTTTAATGTTAAACCCATATTTTTGTTAGCATTTACACAATGACCAGAGACAAATAATGGTAATTAGAAGTTTTATTTATTTTAATACACTATGGATAATTAAATAATAGGTATTTTTTGATAAAAAAAATCAAGTGACGTTGTAATACTTAGCCGACGCTGGTGCTATCTTTGTTAATAAGAACACGTGACTTGCAAAGCGACACACTTTTTTGGTTATTCAAAGTTTTATTAGTTATATAGTGTGTCCCGAAAGTTGTTTCATGTATTACTAAAAAAATGTCGGACTTGATAGTTTTTCAAGGTGATCATGTTTTTTTTTTAATAGGTATACCTATTAATTTTTCAAAGAATTATCGCTTACATATTTTTTTTCCTTTCTATTACAAAGAATCTCAGTGTAAACAAATATTGGGTATTAATTAAAAAAACATCCTCTATAGTTTAAAAGGCTTAAGAGTTGATGTAAAGAACTGTATAATTTTATAGTCAAACCGTCGTACCGCTTTTATATAACTACATACAGGGTATATAGGAAGTTACGAAAGCTTATAAATGGATATTTAGTTTACAAAAAATGACCCATCCTTTATAGTAATTTTTTTGCTGGTGTTTATCCAGTTTAGCTATAAGCAAACGCTGAAAAAATTGTAATTAATGTAAGTAATAATTAAGTAACAGATTTTATGCATCTCATAATTTTGAAAATGATTAAAAACCTAATTATTGATGTTTAATAATAGTAATTAGAATCTTTAATTTCTCTTATTTATATTGTGACTAATTTGACCATTCTTTTTTGATTTAAAATAAATTATGAAGCTGTGATTTAGATTTCTGTTTTCTTTTTATAAAGTGTCCTAAAATAACAGACAAACTCCGAGAACAACATTTCTGTTGTAATAACTTATGTAGGTTATTAATTCAATGGAACAAAATAACTAATTAAATATACAGGCTGATTAAAAAATTGCGCACTACTTCGATGACACATTGTTAAGGACCGACTCTTCATTGAACAAAGAAAAAATAATTATAAAAATCCTTGAATTGGTGCGCCATTTTAGAATCACCTGTATTTTGAAAACAGTCTTTATGGTGCTTTTTTCATTCTGTTTTTAATTTCATGGAAATTTTTTACTCAGAACTGTACTAAATATTCAATTTAATATATGATTATTTTAGTAATTTCAGATTATAAAAAGCAGATGTTTTATATAAATGATGTAGAACAAGAAACTACGATAATTGTATTTCTGCGGTTAAAACAATGAAGTTATATATAGGTATAATTTTGAGAGAATATACTTATAAAATAACACCGTATAGTTAGATTTTTAGTGGGAAAATGTCTGTCAAAAATTTTTTATCTGAATGACGGAAGATTTTTTTTTTAATGGAACAATAAATGCTAAATTAAACCATCAGAGAGTTATGATAGTACGAACCTGTATTACTGATAACTTCAAATGTATTTATTCATGCTTTACTGACATATTTGGTATTGTTCATTAATAAATTTTGACTACAAAGCCTGAGTTAATCTGGTGCCAATTTGCTTAGTTCTAGGTTTTATTTTACAAACGCTCACTACAACTCGTTTACTACTGAAAACAATTCACTATTCAGAAAGCACTATACTGAAAGATGTTTGCGATTCAGACCCAAATTTGTTAAAATCAAACAAATTTTATAAATTAATTGTTAAACTTCAAATTTGACAGTACCTACAGTTTATTAGCAACTTGACATAGTTAAACAAATTTTCTAGGGGCCTTTTTTGTTTTTTCAACACAAATCAACAGGTGGTGGTTTTTTAATTTATGAACAGATAGTAATATGTTTAATACATTGGGTAACAATTCAGTCTGCAAATAAAAAAACTAGTATTATCAAATTTGATTTTTTATATACCTTTAAAAACTGAGCGAATAAAACATTACCTACTTTGCTTGAGCAAAATTGTATTCATTTTTGTTCTGAAGTAGCCCAACAGAAAAAACAGGGTTAAAAGACGAATTTTAAGTGTTTTTAAAATGGTAACTTTTCTTGGCCGAAACCGTATTCACGTTTGATAAAACAGGATATATTTCTTAAAATTTTGACTTTTTTAAAAAAAGGGTGACTGAAAAACCGGGCAATTGCTTTAAAAATTTTAACTTTTCAAAAGTTATCTTGAAAGCCAGGCTGAAATCATTAAAAATGTGTTGTGTTCTCAAGGGGCCATTTAAAAAATACCTAAAAAACGGGAGTCTTTTCACGATTTTTCTGCTTTTCTGTTAACCCTTGAAAATCGGGGTGTTTTCCTTAAAAAGTAGCTGTCTTCTCAAGGGGCCATCTTAGTAGTTAATAACGAAATCGTAGTGAAAATTGTAAATGCAATCAAGTTAATTCCAATGTTGTTTAAGGTTACATACGGAACGTAATAAATTACGTTGAGAACAGTTCCAAACCACGGCACTATTCCCACTAGTGTGGTAATTTCAAAGCACTTATTGATTTTTTTTGATAAGGTAACTAGTTCATAGTGTGTGTGACACAAGTGTTTAATTTGATAAATTGAATATAATTTTCGCTGGAAATGTCTATTGATTTCTTCAAATTTTCCATAGGTTGTGGTCATCAGGTCGTGGAAGTAAAGGTGGTCTAACGAGGTTATGGCCACTGGAATGAACATGTGTAACATACACACTGTAGGCATACCTTCTACAAGACCACACAAAGCAACATTTATTGCAACTAAAGTCACAAAAAACGGTCTAATCCAGGAGTGCGTTTTTCTCTGACTTGTTGGTAGATTTAGTGAACTAATTTTGACTAATGTGTGTATTAACTTGTTACTTCTTTTATTAAAAGAGATCACACATGTCACCATTAGTACCCAACTAGAGTAAGCTATAAACAAGTCAAAATATTTGAAAAGCCCGGTAAATTGGATAGTCTGGAAAAGAATAGCACTTTTGTAACTTATGTACAAGTAGGCGACGTAACACGGGATGCTCCACAAACGTGATAAGCAATTTTCGACTCTTGTTGAAGACGTGGAGGTTGAAAATTGAACACTTCCTGTTAGCTTGTACAAAACAAGTAACAATTTCGGTGTTGACTCTAATAAGTACATTGCGAATGTGTGTAATGAACATATCGATCTTACAAAAAAATAGTTTTGTTGTTAATGATGTAATGGATTAAAAGTGTGCTTTTATATTCCCAATATTGGGATTAAACACATTTTTTTGACATTCTGTGTTTGTGTTAACAAATGACTCTCATTAAATTTTTTTGTTTTATTTCTCTAATATAAAAAACTGGATGAGTATAACTGCATATGTAGCAACCGCAACAACCACCTAAAAATGACAAACTTAACTACTTTTTTTAGCAAGTAACAGAAAATTACCAGCTGACAAAACTTCCAGTCTAAATTGAAAAACCCGCACACGTTGAAGCGAATTTGTGTATTAAACATCCGAATCGAAACTAGTTCCAGATGGCGGAATTTTTCTCCCATTGCTTTCCTGCACACATTTTTGTTCCAGATTTCGTGTAAACGTAACGCTGCAGCGTTGGCTGTGTCTTGAGTTTCGCTAAATTTTGCCACAAGTGTGTAGAACCAACAAACGGAAAAAGCTGCTTGACCAGAGTTGGCTACAAATCTTACACTCATCATAGATTCGGAGCTAGCTGTCATCGTTATTAAAGTGTAAATGGCGTCAACTGTAGCTATGAAACAATAAGCTATTTGTAGTGAAATTGTGACTTCGAACTGCTTTGTTGTCTGTAGTGCCAAAATGACCAAGTCGTAGTGTGTGTGCGATAAATTTTGAACAGACTCAATTATGAAGTTAACTTTGTTAGTTCTTCTAGACTGAGTGTTGGAAGTCAAATTTCGAAACGTTTCATTAATAGCGGTAAATTTTTCACTCAGACAGTCTAGAATGTCGGTAAGAAAAAAGTTGTCGAACGTGATGAGGGTGCAGCAAGAAGTGAAAATGATATAAGTAGTTGTGCCTCTGAGCGAGTAACCGACTACAACGGGTATCAAACAAGAAATGAGTAAAACTCGACTCAAAATTGTTGTTGTTGATTTTTTGACAGGTGTGTGACTTAAATCGTCAATGCGAATCAAGAGAATTTTTATTTTGTCGCTTCGTCTATGAAACATTATCAGTGACACTACTATCACCACTATAGTTCCATAGAACACCACAACATGAACGTAAATCATTATTTTATCGTCGTATCTTGCACTATGAAAGAAAATACAAATGCAGATGAAATAACCGTATGAAAAAACACACCACAAACGGGCACCCATTTTCGAAAATTTTGTTGTCGGTGGTGCTTTGGAATAAGAGAATTGCACAATCCCTAAAACCTTGTAAACGTATTTGAAAACTGTGGAAGCTGAACCGAGCACTTGGGTCCCCATTTTATAATTGATTTGAGCACTATTTCGTGGCTCATGTTTTTTCCAACAATTTGCTTTATTACTTAGATCGATTTATTCAATAAATAATTAATAAAGTCAAAAGAGGAAATTTCCTCTCTTTGTTAATTAATATTTTTGGGCATAATTTTGTACTTGGATTGGAAGAGTAAGTATTTAGACCTGAAACTGCACCAGAATAAGCCAGTAGGTAGTAAAAGCAACGACCATCGTTTGGAAGAAGGTCCAGTCCAAAATAAAAAACCCACGTATGTTGAATTGTACCCGTGCGTTAGACATACGTACTGAAAGTAGTTCCAAATGACGAAACTCTCTATTCATTTCTTTTCTAGAAACGTGTTGGTTCCAAATTTCGTGCAAGTGTAAAACTCCGCTGTTGGCTAGTTCTTGCGTTTCGCAAATTTTTGCAATAAGTACATATAATCGAAGTAAGGCGAACACAAGGTAGATGAAATTGGTAGCAAAACGTGAAGTAAGGTGTTGGGAATAAGCTGCCAGAACAGTAACCGTGTAGGAACCATCGATCATACATATGAAGGAATGAATCATTGATACTATAATAGGTACTTCGAATTGCTTGGTGATCTCTAGAGTCAAAAATACTAACTCCGAGTGGAAGTGTGATAAGTTCTGAAGCGAAGTCGTGTCACGAAATGTTGTTTTCTTGTGAAATCGAAGTACCGATTTATCAAATTTGGTGTGTAGTTGTAGCTCTTCATTCACAGCGGCGAATTTATCACCAATGTGGTCGAAAATATCATTTATGAAAACTGTGTCGAAAGCGATAATTATGCAACAGTAGTACCAGAAAATGAAATAGTAAGTATTGCCTTCTTGGAATGAAGACGCTATAATCAGCGCAAATAGAACACCAACGAAGGTACTTCGTATGCATATTCTTTTCTTCGGCGGTACTGACGAGCTCAAAGGTACCACCATGTCGCCAATACAAATCAACAACGTTTTTATTCTGTTGCTTCTGTTATAAAACGTTATAAATAACACAATCATCAGAATAACGGTTCCATGATACAGAAAAACTTGAACGTACGTCATTATTTTCCCATCGTGTCTTGAATTATTGAAGAAAATACACAAGTGAATGAAAGTACTATAACTTAAAACGGACCACAGTCGAGGTACTATTTTTGCGAATTTTGTTGGTGGTGGGGTTTTGTCGTAGGAGAATTGGACAATTCCTAAACCGTTATATATGAATTTGACTACGCGGGAAGTCGACTCGAGGAGCTGGGGTGACATTTTCAATTAATTATCTACTAATAACACTATATTGATCAAGCTTTCAGTAATTGGTTGTACTAGGAAATCATCAGGTTGTTTGTATTAGATAAATCGATTTATTTTATGCTGAGTACATTAAGTGGACTAAATTTGAAACTGCACGAGGATAAGCCAGTAGGTGGTAAAAGCAACAACCATCTGAAAAACACAAAAAACATTTTTTTTCTCCATTGAAACCTTATATTCACCGATTGGAAGAAGGTCCAGTCCAAAGTAAAAAATCCACGTATGTTAAATTCCATCTGTGTGTTTAGCGTCCGTATGGAAAGTAGTTCCAAATGACGAAACTCTCTATTCATTTCTTTTTTAGAAACGTGTTTGTTCCAAATTTCGTGTAGGTGTAGAACTCCAGTGTTGGCTAGTTCTTGCGTCTGGCTAATTTTTGCAATGAGTACACATAGATGATGCAATGAGAACACAAGGTAGCTGAAATTGGCTCCAAAACGTAACGTAAGGTGTCGAGAATGAGCTACTAGAACTGTAACTGTGTATATAGCGTCAACCATACAAATAAAACTATGAATCATTGATGCTATAGTTGTTATTTCAAACTGTTTTTTGATTTCTAGTGTCAAACGTACTAACTCATAGTGGAAATGTGAAAAGTTCTGAAGCACATGTATGTATGATTTATCTCGTTTAGTGATAATTTCCAGTTTTTCATTCGCTGCAGCGAATTTGTCACCAATGCAGTCGAAAATGTCGTTGAAAAAAATGGTGTCAAATGTGATAACAACGCAACAGTAGTACCAGAAAATGTGATAGAAATCACGCTCTTCTTGAAATGAACTACAAATTATCACCGGAAGTACACTAACAACGAGTGTAATTCTTAATAATATTCTTTTCCTGGTAGCTACTGGACAGTTCAAAGACAGGTTCAGGTCATCAATACAAATCAGCAACATTTTTATCTTATCGCTTCTCTTAAACAACATTATAAACAACACAATCATCATGAACACGCTTCCTTGATCGACAAAAAATTGAACATAAGTCATTATTTTACCATCATGTTTTGATTTGTTGTACAAAATGCAAATGTTAATGAAATAAACATACGACAAGACACACCACAGTCGAGGAACTATTTTTGCGAATTTTGTTTTTGGTGGGGTTTTATCGTACGAGAATTGAACAATTCCTAGGACGCTATATACATATTTCACCAATTTGGAAGTCGACTGGAGGAGCTGAGGTGACATTTTTGTCTCAAACTAGCCAACGCGGACAATATTGATCAAGCTTTCACTAATTAATTAGACGAATAAATAACATGTGCTTTATTTTCACAGTATTCAATTATTTGAGGTACGTGGGCGCCAATTTTGTCATTGCAGAAATACATATAATATTCTAGAAGAGATAGCGTGTGTAACGCAGATGCTGGTCTCTGTTTTGTGTCATTAAACATAAAATTGTAAAAGTATAACTAAATAAGTAGTCAGAGCAGAAATCATCTAAAAATCTTCACTAAATTTTTGTTGTTATATATAGAACGAAACCCTCACTCACCCTTTGACAGAAACTCCGGTCCATGTAAAAAAACCTCTCTTTCTCTCTATTTCCATCCATGCGTATCCCAGTCTCTCATAATATCCTTCTCTACTCTTGTGATGTCCTTTCCCTGCTTCCTTTTTTTTCCTTCCAGCATTCATACAATATCCTACATTCCTCTCTTTCTTTCAACCTTTCATTATACTTTACAGCTCTTTTCCCAGTGTATACTCTTAATTTCTCTCGTTTGCATTCTTCTCTTACTATATAGCCTGGTGTCTCTTTCCGTAGCCCCTAACATCCACCTCAAGTATTTTTCTTCTACTGTTTCCATCTCTGCATATTCCTTCCATCCCCATTTCTCCAATCCATACATTAATACACTCCTAACTAAACTATCAACCATGTTCATCCTTCTTCTTACGTCATGTTCAAATATTCTCTCACCTATAGGTACTCCACATCATTCCCATTATCTGCATTGCTTTGATCCTTCTTTCTCTTATGTGTGCGGTTACCGTGTTAGTTGTTGTAAACTTAAATCCTAAATATTTTAACTCCTTTACTGTGTCTATGATTCGATCTTCACAACGCCACACTTTTTCCTCCTCTTTTCTTCCTTTTTGACGTGACAACGTCTTATAATTGCGGCGTTACCTCGCTCTGAGGCGTTCCATGTGACTCATGCGGCGTTACCTCGCTCTGAGGCGTTCCATGTAAGGCTTGAAGTGCAAGCGAGAAAATCTAACTTGATCAATTTCATTGTGATTTCTAATTACCTCCTTCTCTATGTACATACAAATCTATTAAACAAATGAAATTAAAATTTTCTTTTGAAAAATGCAACCATTCCATCAGTATTTTCTTAAGACGTTGTCACGTTCAACTATCGTCAGTAAACCGACTTTACAGACAACCGATTTTTTTCTAAAAACCATCATTTTTGTTTTTTCTACATTTACCTCCAGTTTCTTTCTTTTAAAGTATTTGTAAATCATCTGCAAATGCTAAACTCCATACCTTTTCTCTTCCCACCACAATTCCTCCCGCTTGTACTCCTCTAAACATTTCCTCGATAACGCTTATGTAACAAGCAAACAGACTGGGACTTAATGGGCATCCCTGTCTCAATCCTTTCGTCGTCCAAAACATTTCACTTTCTATTCCTCCCACTCTTACATTAGTCACTGTCTCTCTATACATCTCTCTTGCTGCTGCAATTAACTTTTCACTCAGTCCTCTTCTCTCAATGCATTCCCACAAACACTCTCTGTCCTCCGTATCAAACGCGGCTCTTAGGTCTACAAACAGTGCATATACCCGACCTTGTCCATAGCCCCTCTACCTCTTCTAAATCCCACTTGACTTTCCGGTAATATACTCTTTTCGTTCATCTCTGTCACCAAGCTTTCATTTAACACCATTGCGTACAGTTTATATGCCGTATTTAGGAGAGTTATTTGCCCAACTCTCCATTCCCCGTCCACACATCATTCATTAACTCTCTCAATCTTTCAATCATCCCATCCGTCCCAAATATCCATACTTCGTTTACCAAACCATCCCTCCCCGGTGCTTTTCCTCTTTTCCGTCTTTCTACTTGTTTTCCTACTTCCTCTACTCGAATCTCAGCCTCCCTTTCTCTACCACCATTCCCGGTTTTACTATCTTGCGCTACCATTCTCTCTTCCTTTCCATTCAATAGTTCCATAAAATGCTTCTTCCACTGTATTATAGGTATGTTTTCACTAATAGTGATTTCGTTCTTCCGTTCTTTATTTATATACTGCCATGCCTCTTGCTCAGTTCTTATGGCTTTAATCTTTTCTTCTTCTTCTTGCTGTATCTCTTCTTTCTTTTCTTTGCATCGTTTTCCATAATTATTTTTTCCTTGCCAGTACTCCTCTTTATACCTTTCCCCTTTTTCCACCTTCGTAAACATTTCCTTGCTTCTGTTTTTAAATCTGTGCATCTGCTATCCCACCATCTGTTTCTCTTTTCTAAATTTCTCGTTACAATTTCTTTTCTTATGGCTGCTTTTTCAATTTCTCTTTTTAATTCTTGCATTATCTTTTCGTTCCTTTTTCTTTAAATTCCACTTTCAACATTTTTTTTTTATAATGCTCAATTCCTTTTTCATTCCATACCCATATCTTCTTCTCTATTCCTACTTCATTACTTAAGCATCCGCTCCCTCTACTTATGCCCCTCACTTTTACTTCTAGTAGCATGTGATCGGAGTCCACTCTTTCTCCTATTTTGAATGTTTCTACCTTTTCTTCTGCTAATCCGTTTACTATTACGTAGTCTATTACCGATTCCCCTCTTTTACCTATCCAGGTAAATTCCCCCTCCTCATCCCCTTCCTTCGCCCCATTCAAGACTTCCCAACCTCTTTCTTCAATTAATTCCCATAGCAATTTTCCGTCTTTGTTTTCTACTTTATCTTTCGATTTTCGTGTGTTTTCCCCGTCTTCCTCCCTGCTTTTGTTCCCTATTCTGGCATTCAAGTCCCCTCCTAACAGTAGAAATTCTTCTTCGGACTCTTCGATTTTTTCTTGCATTTCTTGTTTCGTGTTTCTCATTCCTCTACTATATATTGTGCAGATTCTCCATCTTTTTTATTTACAGTCAGTTTTCTTTCAACTATGCCTTCCATTTCTATCGCCCCCTCTTCTATTTCTTTTATATCTTTCTTCACTCCTGTTATGATTCCACCTTTTGCTCTACCCTTGCGTTTTTCTTTTTTTGCCCCTTGCAATTTCCACTGAAATTCCTTTGGCAACACGTCTTTCAGTTTGTTCCAGTCTCTCTCTAGTATCCATGTTTCTGTTAGTCCCACAAAATCAAAATTTTTCACGTAGTCCCAAAATAAATTAGCTTTCTTTTTCAGACCCGCAGTATTCCAAAAGAGTAATTTTAAACCCCGTTTATCTTCCCCATTCTTCTTTCCCATTCCCCTATTATGTACAAAATCTACATTCTTAAACCTAAAGTCTTTATTTGCCCTATCATTACTACCCCTCCCCTTTGTGTTTCTTTCTTCGTTTAGTGCTGACTTGATTTGCGAAATTTTTCTTCCAATTTTCCTTTATTGTCATTCCATGTATACATTTTGTCCCCTACTTCCAGCTTCTTATGTCCCACACTTGTTGTGTATTCTTTTTTTCTTTCCTCTTTATCTATCTCCCTAATTTCTTTTTTAATTTTTTGCTCTTGTACTGTCCAATCATTATCAATATATATTCTCTTTCCTCTCAGTTTATTTTTATTCTTCATCACCTCTCGTTTTTCCTCCAAAAGCGTCTTAACCTTAGATCATATAATAAATAGATACCAATACTCAATCTGAAAGCTGTGACTAGACATGAAGCTATCTGTTGTCGTTTTCTACGTCAAGAGGAGTAGTATAATGCTAGCCTTGTGTGATCACCACATCTTCATCTTTGTTATATGCATTT